CGTGCAATAACGACTTTTCTTGACACGTTTTGACATCTTTAAAAGGGGATTTTCTGCACTTTTACAAGAGTTACAGAATTTGGCACTGAGACCACAATTTTACAGCATAAGAGGGTGATTTTGAGAGCATTGGAAGCCATTGGAGGTCAATCCTTCAAGGGAATTCACATGCTATTCATCTTTTATCAATTGGTATTGTAATTTTATCACGACAAGCTAGATTCTCTAGGTTAGGTTGTGTATGATGAACTTTATTCAATCTTGTTGGCATTATATGGCAGTTTAACTTTGTATGAACCTTATTACTTATAAATTTATTCAGCTGTTTCTTTTGCTTAATGCATATTATTTGAGGTACATTGTTAATATGATGATAGATGTAGAGGGATTCTTGACTCGTAGCTTATGTATTTGACCTAAGACAATTGTTATATTTAAGTCGGTTGAATAGTGGTAGGATATATCGAATAGTGGCACAGAGAACTAACGGTTTATATAATGTCTAACGCTACTTACGTTGGAGGATTAGGGATAAAAAGCTTCTAGTAGTTGTTTGTGAGTTATTTCATGGGAGACTGGCTATAACAGTTTTGTTGGTTCACCGTAAAATTATAGGAATAAGATAATTCATACAAGGCATCGTTCATCGACAAAAGGGGATAAAGGGATTCTAAAACACAACCCAAGCGCCTTCGTAACATTATTTTCTCGTTTAATCTATTTTTGCATTGAAACTTGCAAAATCCCACTTTTACGGTTTTTAGTTAAATTGCACAAATTATTGTCTTGTTCGAACATAGTCCTTGTGGATTCAATCTTTTTATTATTGCGAAATTATTGATACACTTACCGAGAAGTCATCATAGAGCTACATTTAAGTTTGTAGGGGTCTTGCCTTGCAACACTTAAATTGCTAAAATTACTAAATAAAAGAATCAATTCAATAACATGTTAAATTAACTAAAATATATATTATAATAACTATTGTACATTTGAGTAAGAGGGTACCTTCTCTCCATTCACTCCTTTTCCAATCAGACAACACCTAATTAATTATCCACCCATCTTATTTTTTATTCCATAATAATCAACATTGGTTATAGTTAGAAAGATAGCTTCAGTTACTAAGGTAAGAAGTTAAGAAATCATTTATACAATTCATAAACTATGTAAAACATTAATATTAACCACAAGATTATTTCAAACACATACTTATACTAACCATAAGATTATTTCAAACACATAGACAAAAATCATATCATTGTAACCATAAATTCACAAAGAACAGAGAGAGTTCAGCAGACAACTAACATTCACCATCAAATTCTTTTAGACATTTAATCAAACAATTAGCATTCACCATCAAATTCTTTCAGACAGTTAATCAAATAGATAACATTCACCATCAAAGTCCTTCATACATTTAATCAAACAACTAACATCCAGAGTAAAAAAAGCTAACAATTACTTAAGTATAACATGAGATTGTATTAGCGATGTCGATATACAATAAATTCAGGATTGTATTAGCGATGTGGATATACAATAAATCCACAGAGGATTCATACGTGAGAAATACCAACAATGATGAATGTTACGAAATGAGAATTTTCATGACGGTACATTTGTGGTGGACAACGATGATGAGAATTCGTGGTAATGAGATGCTACACAATTTTGTAATATGATATACCCATGTGCTTTATTTCCCGTCATTGAAAATCCTAAATAACAAAAAAAAAAAGACTTAATTGCAACTTTGGTCCCTCTATTTTATATTTTTTATAGTTTTGATCCCCCATTTTAAAAACCACTATTTGACTCCTTTTTTAACTTTTGTTTTGAATTTTAGTCTCCTTCCATTTAAGTGTCATTTAAGTGTCAATTGCATTTAAGTGTCATTTTAGTCTCCTTCCATACATTACGTGTCATAATTAATATTCCACCTCATTTATAATTATTTTCATTTTAAAAATAATAACAACTATTATATTTATTTAAAAAATATATTTATTTATTTTAAATTAAATTATCATAAGTTTAAAAATTAGAATAAAAAACACATAAGAGAAATGCACAATCTTTGCTTTTATTAATCTACACACAGGTAGATTGACTCTTATATGAGGTTATAAACAACTAATTTCTTTACCGAAGAATGATAAAATTTCCATAACAATTCATTATCCAAAAGAAAGCTAAAACGAAGAATGAAAAACTAATTGTTCAATGTTCATAACTTTTACCACCATCAGCTGCAAACATTATTCAATCATCTTGTCTCATCAAGATTAAAAATTGTTTAACAAAGGAACCTATCAGTAAGGTATGAACATTGAACAACTTGCAACATCCATTCAACACCAACTATTTCATTACGATTCAACACCAAATAATATATTTCATTACCAAAATCTCAACTTAATTCCATTCAACATCAACTAAATTGTTAAAAATTGATGAACAAATTGCAACAACAAGCCTTACGATGATAGTTTCAACTCGATCTAACTCAAAGAGCAATGGAAATCAACAACAACAACCATCAGATCAAGGTTTTAAGGAAAAATTGAAATCTCTAACACTCTGTCAGGAACAACACAAACTCTTAAAAATTATTCTTTAAAGTCTCAACACGAATAGAATGCTAATTTTAATGTTTAGTGGAGTAGACATTTTGGATTTAGATTAGAGGTATGAAAATGGATATAGAGTGGATGTAAGAAGATTAATGGATTTTTAAGAATAATAAACACAATCTAAAAGAAGAACACAAAAGTTGAAACTCGAATATAATCTGCTAGAAGAAGACCAACGATGGTGAACACTTAGAGGAAATTAAATAGAGGATTCATATTTTTGGGGAAGAAACAATGGAAGCTGAGAAGTTTTCCTAGATGAATGTCAATTTTTTTAACATTTTCTTTTAATAATAAATGAAAAAGTAAAAAAAAAAACATTAATCTAAATAAATATGAAATAAATAAAAAGAGTAAGAATAAAAAATAAATGAATAAGTTTTAAAAAAATATTAACTTATATTAATGATTTATTTTTAATATTTTGTTATTATTAAAAACATTAAAAATTTAATAAATAATAAGATGGAAAAATTAGTTATAATTTAACATTGACACATCATCAAAACAAACTTCACATCATCAAAAATTATTCTCATATTAGTTTGAGGACTAACATTCAAAACAAAATTTTAAAAAGGGATCAAAACTAAAAAAAAAGATAAAATAGGGGGACCAAAGTTGCAATTAAGCCTAAAAAAATTGTGATATTAAGGAAGTAATTTCCAGTGAAATTCAAGAGGGGCTATTGTAAGGATAATTGAGATATGACGTTTCTCGGATCTCATAGTAGTAAACTTATGACGACAAAGTGGCCTCGTTGTATTCTTGAAGAGAAGGTCAACAATTTCAGAAAGAAGGTTTTGAACAAGGTTTTAAAAAACGACTGCAGTCGCATAAAGGTTTTCACGATTTCGATCGATACAGATGTCGCGACATTGATTGCAGTCGTCGCAGTGTGAATTAACTACAATATGTTCTTTAATGTATCAAATAGTGATGATAATATCGGTATCGACATCTTCCAAAACCATTTTGTAGCGGCCGTTTTCGCGGTCGCAAACCGTTTTTTAAAACCATGGTTTTGATAATCCAAGTTGCAATTGAAATGATAACTCTCGATTTTGAAAGAATTGTAATTAAAATGATAAACCTCAATTTTAAGATAAGAATAACAAGAGCTCAATGAGGACGAGGGTGAAAGTGCTTATGGTGAAAGACTTTTGAGTCTAGAAGTAACAATATGAAACAAAAAAATAGCTTATTTTTCTTTTAAAATTTGGTAAAAAGACCTATAATAGCATTTTTGCATAAATGCTATTATAGGGACCCATTTTGTTATCGGTTACTATAAAAGCGATATTAAACTTCTTTGTAATTTCATTTTTTTTATTAATAAATTATAATACCACTTCTTTATAGTGACCCTTATAATATCGTCTGACCAAAAAATACTATCATAGGTCATCGTATGAAAGTTTTAATAGCACTTTATAAAAAAGCGCTATTAAAGACTAAAATTATAGGTGATAATATATATATATATATATATATATATATATATATATATATATATATATATATATATATATATATATATATATATATATATATATATATATATATATAAACTAAATAAAAAGAGAATAAGCAAAGCGAAACCAACCACCAAAACAGTAAAATACAACAAATAGACATATAACAACTAATCAGAAGTACAAAAACAAAGAAACAAACTTGATCTCCCTAACTAAGGACCAATTAAAACAAACTTCGATTTATGCCTAAACAACAAGAACACAAAAAAGAAAGTACGAAGACACTCAAACTGCTATTGGCTTAAATTTAAAATAGGATATTTGAGTCATACAGAGAAAACACAAAAGTTAACTACAAACCTACCAAAATACTATTTCGACGCCAAAAAATACTCATATATTTCACGTCCTTCGAAGTTACCTAATCATCTCATAGCACTGTATAATTTTGAAATTTTCAAAGCACCCATAATATAAGTAGATTTATTCCAATTTTTACTCACTATTTACTTTTCAACTTGTGCTATCTAAGCTAAGAAAAGGAATAAACCACCTTTCTTTAGAGAAAGTATTAACGAGTACAAAAGACGTTTTATTCTTATTTTCTTTTGTGTGAATTTTAAATTTTTGCAATAAAATTGTCAAATATTTGACATTTTAAATTTTTGCAATAAAATTGTCAAATATTTCACTCACGTTGCATGTCTTTGCTCTTAAAAATCATGCCAATTTCATACCTATTTTTTCCACTTCATTCATAAAAATAAAAAAACCTGCCTTTATTCACAGTCATGGCTACATAATCAAAATATGGTAAAATACACATTCGTAGACTTCAATTGATCCTACAAATTAACGACATGAATGGACTCAAATTATTTCACTAAGTTGTACTATTATTATCATGTGGCCTTACAATAGAGACGTGACCTTGAATCCTTTTATTTCTCTTGTGAAGGAAATTTTGAAGTGATCGCTTTATGGAAAAGCCATGTGAAGCATGCATTAATAATGCTTGAGGTTCCAATGAAAGAGATAGTGTTGGTTGCAATCCTTTGTTACCATTCCTTCCTTCCATTTCTTGACTTGCCAACCATATTATCACTCTAGCCTACAAATAATTTCAACTGTATACTAAAACACGTCTAATATAAACCTAATATTAAAATTTTACTGTAAATATTTATATTACCTGAAATTCTCTTTCGTCGAACTTGTCTTGTTCATGAGAATCATCAACTGTTTGTTTGTTCACATTCAATCCTTTACCCCTGCAAAATATCGAATAAGAAAAAAGAATCCGACGAAGAAGAAGAAGAGAACTTATAAATCACTTACATTGGATTTGGAATGATATATGAATCTCTAAGTAAGTGATTCCAATGTATATAGGTGTTGTTATATTGAGAAGGAAGAAACAATATTAATAGTGGAGAACACAAGATATTTAGAGAAGACACGACACATACTTGAGTAGTATTGTTTAATGCATGAGACATAGATTTCAAAGGTGATATATATAGGTGTCGGGGGGAAGATAAGTAGGCACGTGGGAAATGAGTTACACATGATAAAAACATTTGTATAGCATTGTAGCTCTCATGAGTTACGTACTTTTTGTATTGAAAAATCAATAAACACCACACACACATCACATACACAGTAACTCAATGTGTATTTTCACGTGGCTTCTATTTCTTTGTAGCTACATTTGCTTGCTCTTTACAAGTGGAAATTACTCAAATTAGAAATTTTGCTTTCTTTGTGTAACCACACTCAATGCATTATGTCTTTTTTGTGTTTCCATTTCTTTCACGTGATTCAATTCAGATCATGAAATTTACTTTTTTTCTCTTTTGTATATTTCACTGCAAGTGTTTTATGAGATAATGTACCATTGGGACCAAAAAGTCTCTAGAGTTTTAATTTTCCAACCACTTAAGACAATTATATATATGCTATGCATATGCTTTTTGTCCTTCACTTTTAAGACTGTTGAGATACTTTGGGAGATATTTAGACCTACAAGATGTTTCTTTCAACAGAGAGGTTTCAATTTTTAAATATTTGTGTCTGCATTTTAAAAATAAGATTCTACAATTTCCTCCTTAAATATTCTAAGCATGCCATCGATAATTGTCAAAAGACATGGATTAGATAGAGAAAATGAAGTCTTATAGATGTTGTAGGCTATTTCATTCTATGACCACACGACCCATCAACTCCCCCAATAAAAGAAGTTCAAGTCTTAACTTAAAAATAGAGCAGAAAAATAAAAAGCGCACATGGAGGAAATTTTTTTAAAGATTCAACAACATGGCACATAATATGATTTATTTCTCTACGATGCAATTTTTATTATATTTTTGATTAATTTAATGTTTTTTTTTCTAGTTGGTAGTTAATGAAGGATTTAAATGAATTAATAGATATAAATTATAGCATATATTTATAATTGTGTAGAATAAAAACGGTGTATTTTGTAAAGTTTAAAGACACATTCATCGGAAGATTGAATATGAGAAGATTACTACTCTCATTGTCATTTATGGTTTTTAGAGTATCTTAATTGTCTAATGGAACGATACTTAAATAGTTAAACGACATAGGACAGAGACCTCTCATTGAACTTAACTGAATGATCCAACTCATCACGGTTCATTCAGATATAAAACTTAATCAAATAATTCATCAATAATTAGTGTTTAATAACAATAGACCATAATATAATTAATTATATCAATCCATATTTAATTAATTAAAAAATTAATCTAACAATCTCTCACTTGGATGACAATAATTAATTATTAAAAATATTATCAATAATGGTCAGAACACTAATCAATAAAAAAGAAGTAAAATTCAACGCTGTAGAAATTGTATCCGATAAGAAAGACAAATCATACATGTTAAAACTCACAACTTAATATAAATAATGATGAATTTAGAGTAACATATTTGAGTTAAAAGTAATATGTTATAAAGAATGGTCCAAGCATATGAATATGCTAGTGGTAAACTCTCACAAACTCAAAACATCATAAGACTTACTCATGTGTATAAGTTTATGGTTAGTGATTATACTAAGAGCATCTCCAACCGTGAACTCATTTTTGGGTTCTTTGTGGGACCTATTAAGCCACGTTAGCTTGAAGCAACTCAACTAATTTTTCACTCCAATGGTGCAATTCTGAAGAACTCATATTGGGTCCCACAAGTTTACTTTATATGTTAATATTTTATTCATATTAAATTTTATATCACTTAAAATAATAATTTTAATTTTTTTACAGAAAATTATTTCAATCTACTATATAGTCCAACCGGTATATAGTGTTGTTTTAAGGAAAAATATTTCATTCTACTATATAAACTTAAAAAAATTAGATTAAATTTTAAAAAATATTTCAATCTCTCCTTAGTTAATTTTAGTGTTTTAAATTAAATTTGATATAAAATAAAAATAAAATTAAAATTAAAAATTAAAATAAATAAAAATAAAATAAATAAAATTCAAATTAAACTTATAATTTAAACTTATAATTAAAATATAGTTTTCATATTATAAAATCAATATTTTAATATTGTAATTATAATTTTCATATGATGATTAAAATGATAAATAAAATTTTATATTAAATTATAATTTTTATATTATAAAATTAATATTTTAATATAAGAACAGTTGAAGAACCGTTGCTTAATTAAGCACCGTTCAACAACATGACAATCTTGGAAACAACAAATATGAGTGCCATGTTGGCAAACCCACTCTAAGAACTCCCATTGGAGTTGGTCTAATGAGTTTTAAGTTATATGTCATAAAATATCCACATATGCCTAACAATAGTAATTACATATAGGCATGTTATATTAACAGAGTAATTGCATTTAATCGTAAGTACTTTCATAATACAATATCATACTCGATAGGAGTATTGATATTTACTTGTACTTTTATATTATGACCTAACAAATGTGGACTATTGAAGATAGAATAACACAATATTATTGCATATTAAAAAATTATTGTGTCTTTTTAATATCGACCTAAACATCATGTTATGATATTTTCTGAGATTAAGTGAATAATATATATCTCAGTATAATATAATAAGATATCTTAGAATCATTTTATATTTAGAAGTCCTTTTAGAATATGTCATATTTAAAGTGCGCGCAAGAATATATGACACTATGAAAATAATAATTTAATTTTTTTTCAAATTATATGATCGTGTACATATGCACTCCCCTTATCCAATAGAATAAAAATTTATCAGATTATACAATGAGATACTAATGTATTTTTAGTGCAAAACTATAGAGAGAAGTGGTTCTATAATACATCATCTTAGAATTTTACAAACTCAACCACATATTTTGCACGTAAATAGAATATATAATTATTTATATAATTTCACATGAAAGAGTATGATGGTCATATAAAAGATTTATCATCTTTTGAGTGAGATCAAATTCATATAATTTTAAATAGAATATAGGATTTTATACAATATATTAATAACTCATTCAAAACTCAAATACTACAGATATAACTACACACATTTGACAAACATATTATATTATATGCAGTAGAAAAATAAGACTTTAAATTATTTAATATCTATTTGACTTAATTAGTTTGCTTGTCTTATGAAATTTTATAGTTGCATAACATTATTTCTTTAATAATGATATCCAAATAGAATAAGTGTGAAATATATTAAATATATATTTGTGATTTTTCTTTATAACTACTCTTCATACTCATGTTTAGGATGTTCTTTGGTTCGGGCAAATCCGAATCAAATTGAAATCTAAACTAAACTATGATGTTTGAATCGAGCATTATTTTAGTTCGGGCAAAAACCAAATCAAACCAATGAAATCTGATGTTAATTGATTCAGACAACGAATTTTAAAAATTCTACCTGTGAGTCCGTCTACCCGAACCAACCATATTAATTTATATAATTTATAACATTATAATAGAAATTAGTATAAGATATTTAACTTTAAAAAAAAGAAAAATGAAACTTAATTAGTGACATTCATAACCTATATAAAACATTAAAAGAAAATTAAAAATTTTATGTTATTATAAAAAATTAGTTGATGTAAATTAATTAAAAAAAATTTTTTTTTGCACATTTGTTTCTAATGTATCCGAAAAATTTAGCTCAAACTAACCCGTTATTTTTCAGTTTGGATTTTATTAAAAAAAGTGAAAATCCAATCCAAACTAATATATATATTTTTGATTGACTTGAACATCGAATTCTGTCAAAACCGAACCAAACCAAACTGATCCGCAAGTATCCCTACTCATGTTCAAGTATTTACTTGATACTAGCCACTTTGCTAACCCTTTTGAGTTTAATATCATTTATTTGTTACAAAAGCCATATTAAAAGTCCATGAACGTAAATGATTAATTATTACCCACATCTCTATGGAGTTAGTTAGTGATTAGGAAATTTAAAGTGAGCAAAAATGTTACATTTGAGATTTCTCATGGAATAAAAACATTATAAGTTTGAGGAGGTAGTCTTAAATAAATACAGAGAGAAAAACTTTGATAAATAGTATGAATGAAAGAATAAAAGAAAAATGCACCCATGAAAAAGAATAATGAATGAAAATAAATTCAAGTTTCTAAATTCTAGTATCATCTCCTAATTAGCATCTCTCGGTAAAAAGAAAATAATGAATGTAAGACAACATGTCTAACTTCAAAGTATTAAGTTAATTATTCTCAATTTCAAGTCACGTTACAATCCTTAAATACCTCACAAGCGTTGATTTGATTAACCGTTTTGAAATTTTTTGAGCATATGATAAAATGATAGTTGTGTCTAGATTGAGTGACCAAATTAATTTTCACTTGAGCGAACATGTGAGAAAGAGAGTAAAGTTGAGCAAAACTGAAAATTTGAAAGATTTTTTAAGAACTTATTCATCTTTAAGTTTGAGAATGAAAGTAACGCCAAAGCATGATCATGAAAGTATCGAGGTAAGAAGAATTAGACTTGAAAGCTATCATTGGTCATGAAAGTTTGATATTTTAGTGTAGTTTCTCATCTTACAAGCTTGTTTCTTGAGGACAATTAACATTTTTGAAGTTTGGGGTCATGTTGACAACCTATCATGCTACTTTTTACTAGCATTTCCCGTAGTAATTTAACTATTTTTATGACTAACATTGCAAGAATCATAGAAAATAATAATTGGATTCAAAATATTATGGGAAATACCAATTCACTTTGAAATCACGCTAACCAGACAATTCTACAATGTTATATATGGTAGAAGTTACAATAATAAGATGTGAAGAGAGAACAACATATAAAATTTGAAGAAAATAAGAAAATTGAAGATATCATCTACTTGTACATGGAGTACATGGATCACGATACAATCCCTGATACAAACAACGAAGTGAGTCCTTGTAAATGTTATGTCACGATTTGATTATATTGTTGTGAGATTTGCAAAT